TTGTGTGTCCCAAAATTCATATGTTGAAACCGAAGCACCAATGTGATGGTATTAGGAGGTGGGTCTTTGGGAGGTGATAAGATCGAGAGGGAGGAGTCCTCATGAATGAGATTAGTGCCCTGATAAAAGAGGCTCAGAGAGCTTCCCTGCCCCTTTACACTATGTAAGGACACAGTATGAATGTACCATCTATGAACCAGGAAACAGGCCCTCACCAGATACTCAATCTGCCAGCACCTTGATCTTAGACTTACAGCCTCCAGAACTTTGAGAAATAAATTTCTGTTGTAAATTACCCAGTCTGTGGTATTTTGTTACAGCAATCCGAATGGACTAAGAAAGCATCATTAGTCTTTAGGCTAGAGGAAGTTAAAACCACAATGAAAAACCACTACACACACACCATCTATTTTAGAACGACTAAAATGAAAATGACTGACAATATCATTGATTGACAAAAATATAGAGCAATTGGAACTATTCCACATTACTGATGGGAATGCACAATGGCATATCCGTTCTGTAAAATAGTTTTGCAGTTTCTGCAAAGTTAAACACACATTTACCAAATGATTAGGCAATTCCACTCTTACGTATTTACACAAGAGAATGAACACATATGTCTACAAAAGTGACCTGTATGTAAATAATCATAGTAACTTTATTCATAATAATCCAAAGGGCTAACAACCAAGTTGTTACCCAATTGGGGACTGGATAAAAAATTGTGGCATATATCCACACAATGGAATACTATTCAATAACAAAAAGGAAATGGACTACTGATATATGCGACAACACAGGTGAATCTTAAAATAACTATGCTAACACAAAAGAACACATACTGTATGATTCTAGTTTTATGAAAATCTAGAAGCAAAATATAGTGATAGAACGCAGATCATTAGTTGCCAGGAGCCAAGGACTGGAAGTAGCACATTAACTGCAAAAGTACGTAAGAGAAATTTTGGGGAGAATGAAAATGTTCTATATCTTAATTGTGATGATGGTTATATGAATGTAAACATTTGTCAAACTTCGTAGAATTCTATGTTTAAAATTGGTGAATTTTATTGCATATAAATTTATCTCAATAAAGCTGACTAGAAATACAAACCTAATGCAGGGAGATACACAATATTCTCTCCTAAGATTAGTAGTGCAATTCACAAGTAAATGGAGTAAATCAGTCCTAAATAAACCACCTACTTAAGTTCTGTTTACTACAAATAAATGAAGACCTCTTTTGCGGTTGCTATCGTAAATTGCATACTTAATTAGAAAGAAGTAGGGAGGCAAGAAGAGTAGTTTATTCAACTCTGGGGTCCCAGTGACCAAATAATGTTTAGCATATAGTAGGTACTTTTAGCAAATGTTTGTGAATAAAAATTTAACTAGAAACAAACTGTTAACCCATTTTAAAAAGCCCAGGTACATTCAATGTTCTTATATAAAGTATTTAGACAAACATGCATAAGATACTAGCCGATTTGCATATTTCATTATTTAGACTTACCCTGTGCCATTATTTCATGACATAAACAAATTAAGAAAAAGCTTTGTGGATCATATTTGAATGATCAACTTTTAATTCATGATGTAGATATCTCATCTGATCATTCATTAAATCTTTATTTTTAACAATAACGAAAAAGTTGTAAAGTCTCTGAATTTTTACGTCTTTTAATTAGGAATTAAAATAATTCTAAAAACATGAACTGAATTTTTCAACATCAATTGCTTTACACCCTCTATATAGGAAATATTCAGAGTTCTTCCAATGTTTGAATTATGGAGAATTGACTTATCCTTCTGGAGAATTTTTTTCTAAATACTAATTATAAAAATACATAAAAAATTTGTTTACTGATTACAAAACTGACTATATGACTAAGAGACTCTATATTAAACATGTAGAAGAAATGACAATTACCCAGAAGTTTTAACAATAAAAAATATTTTGTAAACCAACAGAACAAAACTTTTTGACATCGAATTTTAAAATTACTGAAAAACTTTACTTTTGCCAAATAAACAGCAAACTTACACTCTGTTGCTGTATGAAATTGAGAAGAAAGTGCCTGAGTGACTGAATTCCAAAATGTGTAGAAAATTTCAGGTTGTCCATCCTATGAACCAAAAA